TATTTTCTCCATTGACCAGAGCTACCATCGACGGTGAAAATAAATGCCCCCCTCCCCCTAATAGCTGAATAGGCAGGGGACAGTTTTGTAATAACCTGCGATACATGCAAGGCCGCTTACTGTATTCCAGTAGGGGAGAGCCCCGGTGCATTCCCTCGGGATTATCCAATAAACATATATATGTAACAAACAATGATCGCAATACAAGGCACGTACCACCACCCAGAGTCAATGAGAATTATTGCTTCGAGTGAAAGAACTTTAAATGGACGAGCTTTACCAGAATATGGGCATAAAACAAACACGGGGATCGGGGGTTTAATCCACGAAAGCCAGAATATTTAGGGCTCGAAGCCGAACTAACGGATTTAATGTGAACCTAAAACTGGGAGCAGGAAGAACAAGTACACCCAGCACTTAGTTTCCAACAATGCACAACGGGTAACGGTAAGAATAAATTTTACTATTTTTAACCTTCAATTTTGTAGTATCTCATGTAAACGAAGTGGAGGGGGCAGTAAGGGATGAGTCCGAGTGTGGTTCGTCATTCGCGATAGTAAAAATGGAGCCCAACCAATTTACATGCTGGGACGTAGGAATGAGCGGATAAGTGGGAAGAGGAAAGAGGACACTTTATAGCAATAAATGCGCATGATTTTTCTGGAGGAGAATCGGGCGGCGAGGATGTCGGCAGAAATATGTGCAAATACGCGACCCGTAGGGGAGAGGGCTCATCTCTTAACGCATGCGATAAGTGAATGTGGAATTCATTGAAGAGAGTTCTCCCTCGAAGTTTAGTTTGATTGCGATGTCTAGGTCACGCTGCAATGGGCATATAAAATGGAGGTGACGGTTAGAGACAAATGCAGCAGAAATGCGGGTAAGAAGAAATAAGACCAAAGTACTCATTTTCGTGACTTCGATCTTTCTCCGAGTTCTAAACCTTACAGATAGGATGGCGTGATTCTCCAAATAAAAGGCGATTTATACTCTCGGAGCTGTTAAAACTGAATTTGGTCGAACCACCCACATACAATGCTGAGGCCCGGTTAATTCGGAGCAGCGGGGATGGAAACGCCGAAAACGTTGGCTGAGACCTTTGCAAATCCTGCAGACAAGTATCAAGCACGTGACATTACCGCAGGATACTTTGCAGGAAGACGAAGGCTCTACGGTTCATACGATCACGTATTCTTAGGATACATTTATAAAGTTCACTACTAGTTCTTTCTGTCTGAAGAACCTTTGACAATCGATAAGTCTTCCTTGAGAGCAGAAAATCCCATATTTTGTGAAAATGAACCGCGTTCAGACGTCCCCACATACGTGTTCCGCGAAAACTTGTCTGGATCCTTCTATACTAATAACACTTCAAATGTCGTTAAGGTGCCGATGATCTAAAAGGAGAGGAATGACGCTGAGATTATGACTGTCGTTTCTGACAACGTCCAGGGGTGCGCCAAGCCATGGCCAAGTGGACGAAGTATTCTCCTCATTTCTTTAACAACTACAGGACCCATCAGGCTCACAAAAATCTACTAACCAGTCCCCGAAAAAGATTTTTCTTGTTAACTGTTCTGCGGTTGAGTCAGCAAAAGTTAGGCCTCAAGCTACGCACACAATTCATGTGCACGGATGCCCCTCTTAAAAGCGAAATATAATTCGCAGTTTTTACTGCCAACAATGAAATGCTGGGTACAGCGATCAATATATGCCCCGACATTTCAGTGTGGATCTTAGACAATAATACCTTCAACGTCTCCGCAGTTATTACGAATGCATTCTGCGAGGTGACTCAAAGTAACTTGATTTAGAAGGAACCAAGCAAGCATAAGCAATGAATAGACTACAAAGCAAAACTTACGTTGTTTCTGGCGTTCGGGGTCACACTGAAGACACCGTGGATGTCCTCTCCTTTCTTCACCGTCAAGCAGTCTACCTCACCATTGTCAAGGTAGAAGACAGTCTGCTTCCAGTGGGTATAACGCCGCTCGTCTGGGCCCGTAGAGAAACCTACGTACTTGTGGCAGCAGGTAAAATCGATGTTGAAAAAGGTGACCAAAGCTTGGATGTAGTCATTGCGCTTGCAAGTAAGCGTGAAGGGTGCCGCGAACGTGAGATCCTCCACTTTTATGGTATACATGTCTACGTCCTTGACGAGGTAGCAGTTTGAGACCACTTGATTAGGATCCACTACATCAACAAGCGGTTCAGTGAGGGCTACCTTTCGAATGCAACTCATGTCGAAACCATAGACATTGTCCCACCCTGAGCACACAAAAGGGGAAGCGGAGAGTAAGATAGATAGATAGATAGATAGATAGATAGATAGATAGAGAACTATATTTTG